TGTATATACTCATTAGAGATGATCATAGGAGTGTACATTTTCTATTAGTACCATACAAATCCCTATGCCAGTATAGATAGTATATCGACTGTAACTACACAAAACCGTTATGAAAACTTGACTTCCTATATACCATTTGATGTATCTCAACGAGCTCTACAATACTGTATAAAAATGAAATCGATTCAAGAAAATTTTTTTACCCGGCGGGGTCCTTTGTTTCGATACGATATGTCTAATCGTTTTAGTAACATCATAAATATTACAGTCCCTTAGCTTTTTTGATTGCTGATAGTCAAGATTTTTAGCCAGGGAAGACTTTTCTTTAACAGAAGCAGTTATCGATTGTTATTGTCATTTAGTTTCTCAACATAAAAAAAAAGTTGGCTTCTTATATTGAGATTATCTTTCTTACACATTCACTTGAATGTAATATTTAATGTATGTATATTCTTCGAGAGATAGAGCGCGCGCGCGCAAACACCAAAACAAAACTGGAGGAACAAAACAAAGATATGTACGATCAACACTCACAGAACATACAGTGAAAAATCGAAGATATCTAGAAGAAGAAGAAGGACGAGGAGGCTGAGTGAGAAGTCTAGAATGAAAAACCAAGAACACCATAGAAAGAAAAGAATTGAGAACATGCACAACGAAAATTAACAAATTGCATGTAATCTATGTGTGCATGCTTGTGATAATATAGTTATAATGTATGATTTCAATAGGATAAGAAACTAGCGCGCAATGAGATGAAGAAAAGAACAAAAAAAAAACGAGACAAATCGAATATAGAATGTGCAAGAAAAGAAAAACAAAACCAACAACGACAGAGGCAGCCAAAAAACAAAATTTCACTATAGTTACAAAGAGAATAAAGAGAGAGAACGAGAGAGAGCACACACTGTTATTTCCGGCGATATAAATCGTGTCAAGTCAAGAAGAATAAATTACGCAAAAATTATTTCAATATATTCATGTGTGCAAAAAAAAAGAAAACAAAAAGCAACGTCCATCCGTATTTCAAGAGATAACAGACGCAGATAGTCTAAGATCTATAGTGTGTGCAGAGAAAGAATGAACATCAAGAAAAATTATTTATAAGAGCTGATTCTCATGGATGAATTTCGCACGCCAGAAAAAGAAAAAATGAAAATAAATGCCTTATAGGCATAAACAAGCAGCAAACAGAAAAAGAGAGATCCTTGTTTATGACTCATATCCGTAACGCACAAATGTCATGCGTGTTTAGTTATTTGATTCATTTGAGGAAAAAAGAACACAGACAAACACATGCGAGATACAATCACTAAAAAAGAACACGAGATAATAATGAACATACACAAATGACAGGAAGATAAAGATTATGAAAAGAGATCACAATTTGAGTTCATTAGCGATTTTACTCGCTATATTTTTGAACCCAATTGATGTGCCTGATATACGTTTAAATCGAACACCATTTAATGATAGACGTGGCAATTTGCATACTTCCATTTCCCATGATACAACTGAATCTGTATTTGGATCACCGTGTACGCAAAGTAAAAGAAATTTTTCTCGTTGTTCATAATCACAATTATTTATATCGAGAACCTAAAATAATAGATAGTAGAGATGTAGCAATGTGTTTTAGATAAAGCGATTATCTTTTTTTTTATGGTTTCAATTATACTTTTAACATATTGAGCGATGACCTTAGAAAAAAAAGTATGGTGATCTCTTATTGCTTGGCACTGACAAGCATAAGTTCTATGAAATCTCCTGAGACTTGACGCCTATCGTGTCTGAAGTTTTGTTACAAAACTCTGGAATACGGTAGATAGGTAACATCAGAGGAATGGAAAAAAACTTCGTTTCTTTTTTTCAAATAATAAGTCTATTAAAGAAAACAAAAATATTCTTTACTTTTCGAATTTCTTTCATCATATCTCCTGGATCCATCGAGCTAGTCGTTTTCATTGACCATGTGAAACGAAGTGAACGTGGTTTAATATCACCACCGCCTGAAGCAACACTATCATTCGTTGTCACTCCTGCCCCTTCATTTGTTGTTATACTTGTATTGTTCTGATCGGCTGCTGTTCGACGATAGGATGATGATGCACTTGCCATACTTGCACTCATATTTGATGTATTATTTCCGATGGTACCACCACCAACACTGCCGCCGCCGCCACCACCACCCGTCGTTGTTGATGACATACCCGATTCTCGAATAGATTTTCTAGATAATGATGATAAGAGGAAAATCAAATAAATGAAGGAAAAAGATAAAAATAATGAAAATGAAGGAATCAACCATCCAGACAAAGATCAAGAGAGACAGAGATTGATATATTCTTTCTTTCGAGTGTTAGTAAGTTTTGTTTAAAAAAAAACTAAAAGATAGTGCACGTGCAGTGATTTATGTCGGTTATGTTACCTTCGTGCAAATTTAGATGAAAGCTTGCTTAAAAATGATTGAGCCCCACTTCCTGTGCCTCCAATCATGCTCGAAGCACCGCCAGCATGTTGCTGAGCACGATTATTGCCATCACTAAAACCCGTTGTACTACTATTTGGATTTCTTGTTGATGCTCGGTAATCAGCAGTGGTTGAAGATGCTTGATATTGACGTGAAGGAAATGTACTATGAATAGTTTTACGATCGGGCGCAGAACGATTCAATAGTGCACCGTCACCACTACCACCACTCTCGGCGCGTGTGTTAGTGGAAGATGCAAGTGGTGCACTAGGCGTATCGAGTGGTAGCTGAGCAGGTGCAGTAGTAACAGTAGCATTGGCAGTAGTTGAAGCTTGCACCAATAGAGAACTACAATAAGATAGAAAGAAAGAAAACCATAAAACAAATCAATTTATAAGAAATTAAAAAAAAAGACATTCAGTGAGTATAAAACACAAAAACAAAAAAAATAAACAAAACAAGCAGTAGCAGCACTCGTGCAACATGGCAAGGGTTAGTCTCTGAGTGTAAGTGTGTATATAAGTAATAGAAGTAAAGAAAAAGAAAGAATTTTTGTTTCTCAATCTTTCAAGATCATGTCGATGGATTTTGGTTTTGTCGGATGTATTCTTACTTGACTGTAGCTGAATGTTGTTGACTCGAATAAACTCGAATCGAACCGGTATTGCTATTTGCTGATGATGGTACAGCCGCCGATGTTTTTCTAGATCTGATAGTTCGAAAGAAAATGTGTTTTTTTTTGTTGTTTTTGTTTTAATATTCTTAAGTAATGCTTTTTTTTTAAATATACTGATGCAAAAGGCTAGTTGATAATCGTAGCTAAAGAAAAAGAGGCAGTACACACTTGAGTTTATCTTGAAACTTTGATGTTTGCTGTTGTTGTGCTGATAAGCTGGCTGATTTTGGATTTTCGCGTACTGATGCACGCAACAAGTGATGTGGCAATTGAGAAGCAGTAGATGGCGATGATGGTTCAATAGCACTACGGTTGAAACTAGAGAAATCCCGGGGAATACTTTATTTGTTTCTACTTGTCGATTGCGAAAAAAAACAAACAAACCTTTGAGGTAAACGGGGAATACGACTTTCGAAACTTGTACTAATAAGCAAAAGCAAACAATCACAACAAAGACATGCGAATGAATACAACATAAAAATAATAATGCATACTTATCACCAGTTGGTGTTTTAGGTTTGTCCATAGGATCAACTTTTCTATTTGCCATGCCACCCGGTACAGGGTCAAGTGTTTCTCGACGACGAACACCTGAGCCAGGTAAACGAACTGTTTGTGAACGAATTTTATCAACTGTGTTTGTACGATTTGTTATTGAATTCGATGCTATCATAGGTGATACTGGTGGACCACCGCTTGCACTTGTTTTTAATAATAAATGTTGACCATTGTTAGCAGCTGATGTATCAATACTTGACGATGTTAATAATGTATTGTTGATTCCATTAGTTGTTGTGCCATTGATATGATCATTAATACCAGACGGCACAACGGCTGTTATTGGTCGATATTGTTTATCAATAGATGGAAGATTTTCTTTATCATTAGTTGTTGATGGTCGTGTACTTGATGAGACAATTTTAGAAGCTAATGCTGCAGGAGTATTCGATGCATCTGTAACACCTTTATTAGTTGTATTTGGTGTTGTTGTTGTTGTTGTTGTTGTTGTTATACCTGACTGAACTTCAGCATTTTCATTCTAGAAAAACAATTAAATAAATCATAAAAATTCAATTAAAATAAATCAATAGATAATACTTCATTTGTTCGAATGCCGAGAAGAAGATAATATGCCATGACATCATCATATTTACGTGAAGTTAGTGAGTCAAGTACTTGTTCGCGAGTATAATTTCCATCTCGTATTATAATTTCTATTCGAAAGTTATCATTAAAATCTTGACTTGGCTCTTCGTATGGTTTTAATTCATCATTCTCATAATTAATATTCATCCATTTATCTTTCATAATAGACTTCAAGGAAATAGAAATAAAAAAGGCAGTCGAAATTCACAAAAAAAATCTTTGTTTTTCGATATCTTACTTCAAGGGCAGCACGTCGTGTTGGATTTAAAACAAGAAATCGCTTTAGTAAACTCTCACAATCAGTTGACATATAGAATGGAATTCGATACTTTCCGCGTAAAACACGTTCACGTAATTCCTAGAAGATTTTTCGTTTTCTGAACAAATAATTCATCAATTTAAATCGTTTACTTTGAGATTTTGTCCATCAAATGGTAATGAGCCGCTAACAAGTGTATATAAAATAACGCCTAAACTCCAAACATCAACTTCAGGTCCATCATATTTTTTTCCTTGAAATAGTTCGGGTGCTGCATATGGAGGACTACCACAAAATGTATCTAATTTATTTCCTGGTGTAAATTCATTACTAAAGCCAAAATCAGCTATTTTGATATTTAATTCTGAATCGAGTAATAGATTTTCTGCCTAAATAATCAAGTAAGAAAAAAGCAAATTTTCTTTAAACAAAAATCAATTTTATTTTTACTTTAAGATCACGATGTACAATATGTTTTTGATGAAGATATTGAACAGCCGATACAATCTAGAAAATTAGTTTTCATTAGTGATTTTTCTTCCAAGATAGTATTTCAATTATCTATCTAATTTTCATGTCATTTTACTATTTGCGAAGGTTTCGATCCTTTAGACAATGCAATGTTCTATAATTAATGTTATTATTCAAGGTGACAGCTATTAAAACAAATCAAAAACCAAATTATGACTTATTTTCACACATCGATGATATTTGTTTTTCTTTTCTATTCATATGACGTATTTCTTATTTGAATATTGATTTATATTTGGTAGTTATTGTTCGTCGATAACGATTTAATAAATGATTACTATTTACTTATTTAGACAAGAAATAAAAATTGATTAAAACTAAGAACTGTCGGCATAATCTATTAATAGCGATCTTTTGATAGAAGAATTTATGTATTATATCACATAACCCTATAGATACCAATGTAGAAGAAACCGATAGCGTTGAATAACTTCCAATAAGCATAACTATTGAGAAAAGCACTTCTAAGCTTGATGATAACATGTCAACTCTTATGAATAAATCTATTCTTATTCAAAATCGGATAAACTAATAAGGCGACTATTTCTACATTTAATGATATGTCTCATGACATATTATTAAATGAATCATTTCTCAATATGAATTTGAGATTAAAGGACAAGAGATATTTTTTTTATAATTGAGGAACTTTGTGCGTCACATTTTTGTTTTCTTGTTTAGACTTAAATTCTCAAGAGATTCGCCTGACAGTTTGTTGCTGTCTGTTTATTTGATCAAAATATTTATTTTGAATTTATTTGATAGATAATCAGTCGTATCGAAAGGTCTTCATATACTTCGAGAGCTTCTTATTTGTAAATAATTTAAGAATACAATAATTGTTTATGCTGACATACCTGTCTAAATTTTGCTCGTGCTTCTTTTTCTTTCATACGTCCATGTGCAACAAGATAATCAAATACTTCACCTACACAAACAAAACAAAATTATTTCATTTTGTTATTGTTTTATTTATGCTTACCGCCACTAGCATATTCCATAACAAGATAAAGTGTTTTTTCCGTTTCGATTACTTCAAAAAGTTTAACTAAAAAAATTATTTTAGTTTATAATTAAAATGTTGTTGCTTTCTCTTTTTTGTATTACCAATATTCGGATGATCAAGTCCTTTCATTATTTTTACTTCGCGAAATAACTAATGAAATGTAGAAGACAAAAAACAATGTAATTATGATTAATTTCAAAGAAATTAAATACAAACTTTTTGTAATGATGTCGGATTGAGTTGAGTTTTATCAATTATTTTTATAGCGACTTCTCGACCAGTTGGAATATGTTTAGCTAATTTAACTTTAGCAAAATTACCTTTACCTATGGTCTATATGAAAAATTAAAATTCGACGTTGTATTATAAAGGTAAGAGAAGATAATTAACCTTGATAAATCGATATTTGCCAATATGTGGTTCATTTGGATCGCGCATTTTACTCGACTGCAGTCGTACCGATGAAGATGTTGTTGTAGCTCCAGTCGATGCTGTCGTATTATTATTATTGTTATGATTATTATTTTGGTGATGATAGTTATTTGTGGATTTCTGGAACAGAAATAAAAAACATTACATAGTTGGAATAGATACAAGTACTAGAATTATAGTATCTATATTGATTATAAAGGAAAATCAGTCATGCTCGCCTACAATTGTTGTTTCGTGCTATAGTTGTTCTCTTTTTTTCTTCTCGTATTTTTTTTTATATTGTCGTTTTCTTTTTTTTTCTTATTTAATATCGCGTTGTCAACATCACCAACGTTTCAATGTTACAACAAAATATCTGAAGAATAGAAGAAGAAAAAAACTATGTTTCCCACTATATGACATTTTCTTACATATATCAATAAATCGAACAAAACAACCTAAAAAAGAAGGATTTTTTCTCTCTTCTTATTTTCTTTTGTCAATTACGACTAATAGGTTGACGAACACGTATACACATACATTGAATTTGGAGTAGGTGTAGTTGTCCCTTTCTTTTCTTCTGTTGTACACATTCTTTCTTTCCATTTTTTTCTCATGTTCTTTATGCACACATGCATATATGAAACACTTAAACGGTCAGACTATGGGACACAAATAAAAAATGAACGGTTTACTGATGTAGTTGAATGGCACTGAACTAGTCATCATGTTGAAAAATAATTCAAAATGTGAACTATTCGATGACAAATGTCATTTATTGCATGAACAAAAAAAAAGGACCGAATATATGACGGCGTCATATATACATATATATGCATATAAAGCAATGATCGATCATAAGATATTACATCATATAAAATAAGAGCTAAGAAAAACGACATTATGGATACTAATTGACAATATATTCTATGTGCTTTTTGATAAAAATCTATGTGTAAAAAGAAAAAAAGCGAAACTTACTCCATCAGCACCAGTATTGTCTCTTGATGGTGCTGCTGCCGATGAAGAAGGTTGATTGAGCTTAACAATATTTGTTTTTGGATATTGAGTAGATGCTGACATTTCGTGCGAGATAGTATTGTACTCTTGAATTTTTGGTTTTCGCCTTTTATTTAACTGTTGAAATAAGATGTACTGTTCACCAAGTCATGGATATGTTTTAGTATGAATGAGATATATATGAAATCAATATGTAGTTATCCCATTTGATAAAAGATTTCATAATCTATAAAAACAAATTGATGAAATGATAAATGTAAATAACTTCGAAAAAAAAACAAAGAATCATTAAAGTTTTTTTTCTTATTCTCCATCATCTCATCTTGTTCGCCAATGATGAAAACATACATACATGCTTCTTGTACAGGTATCAGCCATCTTGAGTATATGACTCTGCACCTCTCGCATGACATACACAGGTGTCTAGCAATTTCACAAATATAGCAAACAAGTGATAAAATTAATGTACTTTACAAATAATTTTCAATCCTATTTGATGAGAAAAATTAATCGAGAAAAATATCGATGAAAATTATTTTGGTAATCAAATTAGTAGATAGATGACACCAGTGTATTGTATTTTTCGTACTAAATCTTCTATGAAAACAAAACAATCAGTAGCAACAATTTAAAGAGAGAACAGTTTAGTAGCGTCACTAGGATAGGACCAAATGAAGCTCAGTCCCATCACCCAGAATTTCAGGTTACTGAGCAAAATTTTCAAATCAAAATGAATAAAAAGCCTTGATTTGACGTTGCACTTTAAGTTTTGAATTATTGAAGATGTGTATGCAATTAAACACTCCAAATAATAGAGGCCTATCTTTCTATTCCTAAAATGAATAGTTGTCAAACACGTTAGTCAGCATTCCATGTTTATATCGTGTTCGCAAATCTCTATGATAGACAGTCGTTCGAGTGATCTTTGCTTGTTGACTATTAAATGTCATACAGGTATAAATTTTGAGCAAGTTATTGATAATTTTTCAGAGCTTCAAAAATAATCGAATTATCTTAAATAAGAACTTATTAGGCCTGTGACAGTTCACATTTTTATGAGTTGGTTCTTTTAAAGACTCCCAGGAGAATGATTCCGATAGGTTCCGGTGTCGGGATTCAACATATAAGCATTCGACCCATGTGTTCTGTTGACACTATATTCTTATTCATTGGTGATTAAGAAAATGTTTTTTTTGCTTCCGTCGGGTTCGTTAGTAGGTTCGTGACCAGGAATATGATCGGATTTTGTCGGCTCTCATGAGATCCGATAGGATTCACTCTCGGATTCAGTCATCTGAGTTGGATCCATCAACCAGTTCTTTTTGAAAAAAAAAGGTACCATTACCTTGTTTTCAATCAGATTGTTTGTTTTGATTTTGTTAGTGACAGATTTTACTCAATGATTACTCCAATTCGCAAAAAAAACGTTTTAGTGGGATCAGCTATTTTCAAAAGAACTGGATAACTGATACCAGTTCTCGGTTCACGAACTATCACAGGGATAGTACTTTCTTTTTATCATTTTTAATGATATTCAAGTATTTTATGATAGTTGGTTATAAACCTACGAAAATTGATGTCCTTAGATCCCGATAAGATTCGCATCATGGTTTACTTTAATATTTAGAAATAGTGTTATATATATATATAAACATATAGTGTATCTGTAACAGATCATAGCACACTGTAGGTGAAGGAGTGCGATGGTATAAACATCACGGTGTTATCTTGAGACTTGTTGTGTGTGTACTTGATTATTTCTCTTTCTAGTTTTTCTCTCTTTTTCGCTTATTATTTTATGCACGTAGTATTGTCAATTCAGTATATAATGTTCTCATTATTATTCTTTTTTTTATTCAATCTTATTATTATCTTTCTTTCTTCAACTATTTAACTTCTGCTATGTATACTTGCTTGTCAAGCTCTCTTCTCGTCTCTTTTCTTTTCATCAAATGCGCTATTGGTTCTTCATCCATACTGCATTCGTATTTATTTCTTTACTGTTATTTTATCATAATCAATTATTGTGACACATGACATTTTTACTAGTTGCGTCTCTCATGATCATCAAGACGTCACAGAGGGCTCGACCCCACCACTCTACATTTTTTATTGACGCCACTAGAACAGCTCTTTAATTTGATCAAACAAAGTTTCTATCTTAGTATCGATGCTGTCGACTGATGCATGAAAACTTTTGCCATCAAAATATGCCAATAGAGAAACTTCCAGTAGCACCACCAGCGCCACTTCGTTTGAGCCAAAACGAAATCGTATATGTGCTACCGATCGTGGCAGAAAATGTCTGAAGAAGATAATCAGTACCACCGCTACAAGCATCCTGAAAACAATTTCCAGACAAACAACTGCTAGATATTAGCTGTCCACCAGACCCACCACATGTAGAAGAACACCACAAAAGCCAATCAAAAAGTGCTGTTGATGAGTTGTCAAAGCCAGGATTTTGAAGTAATTCTATTGAACTATTAGTTGTATCAACAACGGAGACACTATCCAAGTAAAAGATACGATTGGTGGAAACGGTTGTAAAAACCAACGTTGGTGACGTCTTAGTTGCTGTGTAGTTGAACTGTTGATTAGTCCATAAGCTCATTACACCACTGAATGATTGTAAATTTACAATACCCGTCGGAGGACACAACGTTGCTATTTTTCAAACACATAAGAGAAATTTAACACATACGAGAAGCACAAATCTCACTTGTTTGTGTCGTTGCTATCGTAGAATCTGTCGTTGAGGTGCTTGCCGTTGTTACTATTTCAAAACGAAAATTGAATTATAACTTCTACTTTGTCCTAGGTCCAATGGGTGAAAAGTGCACTTCTATTGGTATGTGGAGTGCTGCTTACAAATATCAGAGGAGGAACACGTATTATCTATTTATATTTCAACATTTTCCCTCGAAATGGTTGAGTGAGGGAGAAATATTTAAAGAAAAGCATTTATTTCCTACCTTCTTCCGTGGTAACTTCATTATCTGTTGTCGGAGTCGTAATCGCAGTTGCATTTGTTGTCACTGTGGTTGATACTGTTGTGATGATTGTTGTCTCAGTTGTAGTCGATGCTGTTTGTGATGAATTTCTTGTTAAGATAATAGCAAGAGCGACAGCTAGACCAATGACCAGAAGTAGGCCAATAAGCAGAGAACAGATAGCACACGAGCACGAACATGGACAAACAGCAAAACCCAAACGTCTGCGAGTAACAATTTACCAGTTCGATGAAAAAGAATACAATAAAAAGTTTGCTTACTTCTTCTTCTTCTTTCTTTTCGGATCCAGCTGATCTCCATTCGAAAATAGTCCTTTACCTGAGGAAACATTTGTCGGCTAAAGTCATGTCACAATTTACGTATCAGAAAGAAAAAGAATAAAGAAGAAGAAAGTCTTACTGTAACACGACTACGGTTTTGACCCTGCTTTGAGTCAGCACTAGAGGTATTCTGATTCGAAAATAATATTTATATGTTTTGTATGATGAGTTATAAGTATAGTTGTACAAACTTACAGTAATTTGACCATTATATGCTTGAAAATATTTTGATGGTTGCGTTTTTGCTGTTATTAATAATCTATGGTCACCTTCGAAACTACTGCTTCTCTCATCTTTTAATTCTTCCAAAGTATTGATTTGTTGTTGTACTTGCTCAATGGCAAAACTGTTGTCTTTGATTGTTCGATTGCTCGCCGGTAATCCCTTCACAAATACATATTTTTTTTAAAGATTTATATTAAGAAAACAAAACATGATAAAAGATTGAAATATGATACTAGTTCGTTTAGCCTTTTACTTACTGTGGAATTCGGGAAGTTACATCGAGAGATCCTAGAAACAGTTACAGGACGTGTCGCACTTCTCGATCTTTCGTCGCCATATTGGTTGGCTAATGATTCACGTAATTCTACTGGTTCGTGAGGAACGTTTCTAATAGTTGAGATCTATGTATATTGAACGAAAAAAGAAATGATCAAAATTATCGTATATATTCCTGACTAGATCTAAGTTTTCTGTAATATTTCCAGAATTGCTCCCGTTCGGTCGAGTCAGTGGTGGCGATCGAATAGTTGTACGAATGACGGTTGAGATTCTTGCATCCGAAGGTTTCCTTTGACTTTCAAGCGAATGTGGTCGGCGACTAACCTTGGTAACACGGGGGGTGGACGTTGTAAGACATGAAACATCCCTCGGAGCTACAGGAGTAGCAGCTGATGATAGTTGAGTGACAGTTCCGACCATAGATGATCACTTTGTTGATGTTGCGTAGCAGAAGAACAACAAAGTATGTACTTTGTTTTATTCTCAGCAAATTATAATCAAAATTGCTTTCGATTCAGTGTTTTATGCGTTGGCGAGTTTCAATAGGAAAAAAAATAACAAAATGAATATGATTGTGATTTCTTCAAGAGAGAAGAAGAAAAGCCAGCAAAACCCATAGTAGTGTTCTTTTTTTTTATAATATGTAGATTGAAAATGCTTTATTCAATTATGATCGTCAAAGCAAAATTGAAATTTGGTTGATTAAAGATCAACTATCGAATAAATTTGGAAGAACCAATAAAACAATGATGTGTGCGTTGCTTGAAATCTTACATGAAATACGTTAAAATTGTTTCTTGCATTATATCAGATAGAACAGTGCACTTGAAAATTCGAGAAAAAAATACGAATGAACACTTTTATTGATATTAATAGTAACAACTATTGCAAAAGATTAGTTGCTAATAAGATTACTTGAAGTAAGGTTTTGCGGCGTGCATTCGTTTCTAATAAAAAATGAATACATGAATGAGAGAATGATGAATTTTATTTTTAAAGAGGTAAACTAACTCATGATGATTGATATAGAAAGTTTCAATTTCACATATTGGTCACGTACAAGTCATCGTGGATATGAATAATATGTTGCAGGTTACCCACAAAAAAAATGCTTTTTTGTTCTTTACTACATTTTCTATTCGATCACATAATTCAACGAATGAATGTAGAGATAATTATTCAACTTATTTTTCTCGTTATAGAATTTCAATAATTTGTCTTTGGAAAAAGTTGCACCGACAAAGAATAAGTGCGGTGTATCCAGCTTATCATTGGCAATTCCGTTCACTTATATCTATTTATTCTACGCTGTAAAAAAAATAGAATACCTATATGAATTCAGTGCTGAATTTCTACTTTCTTGAAAATAAAATATTGATATTCAAGTTTGGATTTTATACAGTAAATTAAATTGAATTTTTATTGTTTGGAAAATCAAGCATTTTCTAAATAATAGAAATTCGATGGATGAATCGTAAAAGTTTGAAAATGCTTTAGATTATTTAAAGTCGATTTTCTACAAAATAGAATTTAAAAACAAATTACAGTGTATTGACAACAAGATTTAGTAAATATTTTCATTAACAAGAAGGCCCAGGTCGATCAACCTGAGCCGTAAACGGCCGTATACCTATCATTCACGGTGAAAAACGGCGACCGTATTTTGTAGTCGTTTACTGTTGCCGTAAACGAAGTTATACGATGAAATACAATCGCCGTAAACGAGGACCGGGAAAAATCTCCGTGAACGGCCATCGTAACTAAACGCTAACCGTAAACGACTGCCGGATATCACAGTAAACGGTCGTTTACGATGATCGTAGACAATCCAGGAAACGATTGCCGTTTTTCTATCGTATACTTTTGTGAACGGTCGTTTACGATGACTAGCTGTTCGCTTAAAGTATAGTAGCATTTTTTAGATTGTAGCTTACTCAAGCTATCTCAGTGAGAAGTATTAAGTGACCATCTGGTAGGTGAAGTTAGCATCGCATTCGAGTAAATCTTTCAATGCTCTGTAGAGCTAATTTTCCAACGTCCACACTCATATTACTAGTAGAACCTCGTATATCCTATCGAATAGTATATTTCGATTAACTAGACTTGAACCATTCTCCTGAAATCTCGAAAAATCCAAAAAATNTTAATTCCAAGAAAAAATTGAACAGATCTTAATGAAAGAAATCTCATATTAGCAGGATTCAAACCTTCAAAAATCGAACAATTTGATTAAATCTGTCATCAGAAATTTAACTAGTTTTAATATCAATTTGATTCTCCATCAGACAGAAATATTTTAATTTTCATCACTTTTTATGCCAGCAAAATCATTTAAATGCTATTTTTTCTCAGTTTTAACCACGAGGAATATATAGGTAGAATATCAAAATAAACCATAACACAGTCATAACTCTCTATTGTGCAGAAAACTCCGAAATTCGGTGGTGAAGTTCTGAAATACCCCGGAACATTCTCATAAATCAGCTCATAAATCACGAACTATACAGCTTACTATGGATTTAATTCATTCCAGCTTATATGACAACAATGTCCGTCAATCGTTTAATCGTGAAGAGTCTCACTATTTGTACAAGCCTGTTGCGTCAGGCATATCCCCTACTCGAAACTTAAATAGTTAAGATGAAAAAATCATAGAAACATCAAGAAATACTGCCTGAACTGATAAATCATTGTCAATGTTGCAGCGCAAAAGTGATACAAGGTCTGGCTACTATATTGAATAACGTTAAAGCTTACTCTCTATCAACACAATTATACAAAACATTTATTCAGAAATCAAAAGTCTATACACCACAAGAATCTCAGTGCTCCTTTATTATTTCTATGATTTCTCCTTGTGATTTCTGACACATTTTCCGGATTATTCAGTCTTTCATCATTTATCAAAAGACGTTTCATGAATCATCTGTTTCCATCTTTAATAGAGCATCTCCGACAAAGCAATCATTTACGGATCACTTTTACTCAAAAATCCAAACGCCGGATTTCAGCATCTAAACGTTATGTGTAAGGACAGAAAGACATGAGCTGCCCAGCCTTAGCACTTCGGCCTAGAGAGTCCACGAGATCATTTATCGAGTAGAAGTATCATGAATAGCGCATTTGCCACAAACTCCGCCAATTCCGGAACACTTTTACTCAGAAATCCAAAAGCAGGATTTCAGCATCTAAAAACGTTATGGGTAAGGACAGAAGACATGACGTGCCTCCTTTTAAGTAAATATTACTAAGTTCACGAAATCATTTCTCAACCTCCAAAACTTTTCAAATTCATTTACATCAAGCTACTTCTCCTTCATTCCAGTGTCGCGTTGGATCTGACGTTCGTCAAAGCCGGTTTCTATCAAAAACCAGACTTTGAGCAAAACTGATTTCAGCAGCAGATCAGAAACTGCACTGCCAGAATGTACAACATGCAAGAATTCCTATACATCTTCACCACAAATAGCAGTTTAGATAGATTCCCAATAATCTCTAGAAGCCTTATATCTAGCAGACTTTGAAATTCTACTTGACTTTTCCGACTATATCGAACAAAAACATCGTTTTCCCTTGCAACCGAGATAAACTTTGAAGCTAATCCATACTGAACATATTCCTATATCGAATTCCAGTTCAACGCTACTGAAGAAATCCACTAAAATAAGAAAAAAAACAATCTTTATAGGTACATCTACGATCGGAAGGATCCAATTCCGTAACAAACATAAAGGAGATTTCGCTCATTCTTCCAAATTTTTCAACCATTTCCAAGCATACTATTACTTTTATTAACCTATATCAAATTTTTGGTATTTTTTGACATCATCTTCACTAATCCTACGTTCAAAAGGCGATTTTTGCAGGATTTCTTTGATGCTTTTTGTATTTTTCAGATTTCTCATGATCCCTGTTGCAGGATACGCGGAAAATCATATGAAGTTTACTTTAGATGCGGGCGAGCATGTTAGGTTATAGAGAGTGCTCCGACAAGATCTGTTGGAAGTATGATTTGTCTTATTTTTGTGTGATTTGAGTAGGTTTTTTTTGCTGCTTGCATTTGGTTAGAGTGACTCCTATGGAAATGTAGTAGAATTGATGTCTGTAGTGTGCGCACTATTGATGAGAGGGGTTTAGGAATGTATTTTTTTTTCTTCAGAATTACGGCCGTATACGTCATTGTAACCGGCTGTTTACGGGCGTATCTAGCCGTGGTAATGCTCGACCTGGGTATACGTAAGTAGATATCTGCTTTCTTTTTGAAAAGTCAGATATCAAACATCAAATATTTACTGAAAGCTGGTAACAATTTGAAATTTGTCATAAACTTCCTGTTTTTCTATTCTATGCCTCTCAACAAGTGTTAGACCATGTTTCATTATAATATAACTGAAGCATTTTAATTTTAAAAGCGATAATTGTACTTATTTTCTCGATAGAATTTGAAGCACTTTGTAGATTTTACTCTAAAACTATACTCGGTAACAATATTTATGTATCATTGTTGCTGCTTTTTTTTTATCTCTAATCAAACTATATATCAGATTCTTTCTCAATACTATGTGCAGTTGATAACTTCTTCCTTCTTTTTTTTAAAATTTTATATCAACATTTGCCGGGTCTAATATACTACTAATTATCTCAGTGATCATATTTTTAAAAACTCTAATGGAAAGCAAAAGTGGAAAATTTAAATGAATGCTACTTGTAACCTTATTGTGTTGTCTTTCTTGCGCATTTGTCTCCCATTATCATCTATTCACCATATATTCCATTTTCACCCCCTCATACAGACTCTTTTAATATATTAGTAGGTGCACACTTAGGAGCAATTACTCTCTTAGGCTATTGCTCGTAATATTCAAGAATGATTTCTTTCATTCTATTATATTATATGAGCTCTTTGGTGGTGAGTATTTTTAAATGACAGCAGACGAAGAACTCGAGTTTTACTTTTGAAATAAAAATAAAAGTGGATACAATAAGATATTTGGCACAACTGCGGACTCGAGTCGTTAGCATATGACACAAATTCATATTGGTATCAGTCAGCATGAGTTTTGATTCAAATCGTAAAAGCGTTAATTCTTTTTAGTAGTGTAAAAGTAAGTTTTTGTCTAGGTCGTTTCAGTGTATTAATTCTATCAAACTTTGATCTCTTCGATAAAACTTAATGTGTCAACATAGTAAAGATAAAAAGTCGCTGGCAGAAATTTGTGCATCTAGCTCAAAACCAATATTACTTTAAGTGGAGTTTTTAGCAACGTTTGAGAAATTCTTTCGTTTGCGTTCCTAACGCACTATTATCAACATTGATAAATTCACTAGGATTATTTCTAATATATTTACTTTTCTCATTTCATCATTTCGAATTATTTAACACCAACAGGAACATATCGCGTTCTGAGTTGTTCTATTTCGAAAAACTTAACGTTTTTATGTGAATCGATCTACTTTAATATAGATTTTATGTTTTACCACAATATGCTAGAGAATATAGAGTTCCTAAAACATCAACTACCATACAAGCTTTCATAAGCTGTAACAAAACTATTTTGCTGAACGAATTTTAGCATAAGAACATCATATTTTGTAATATTGTTTATGGTACTTCCTACGAACCAAAAAACGTTCCTTTTTCGATTGGTTGGTTTCAGTCCTTTTTTACTATTATATTATTATTCAACTGCCGATATATTTATATCTATGTCTGCTATTGAGCTTGCCAGCTGTCCCAGAAGCGCTCAACATAGACAATAATATTACATATCTGATGATATTAAGGGATCACCAAAAATAATTACAAATATATAAAAATTGACAAGTAGGTGAACGCATGAACATTTTTTTTTCTACACAGCTGATAGATAGGAAAACTAATGAAGCTAGAGGCGCAGATGGGTATGAGAAGGTGATCCATAGGTAACAGTCTAGAATGATCTTTCAAAAATATCCTTAGTGGGTGTGGGTGTGATGATGAAGATTGAGTTGATGTTGAAGAAGATGATGATTAGTTTTCATGAACGATCTGTAAACGACGCATCGACATTTAAAATATTAGTCGTGCTTATTTGCAAATTTGTTATATGTATCACCAATCGTACTAGAACAATCCTTTTCATTCTTACTTGGTTCATTCCATTTTGAACAAAGCATTTATAGAAATAATCTAACTGTCTACCAATATGTTTTTGAATTACAGTATCATCTACATATCGGCCTAATTTCATTTAAAACCTTCAATTCAGAGTGTAGGACATTTTCACATGAAGACCATTTTTAAAGGGCATTTACTCTGAGAGACATTTTTTCAAGGACAAAATCCAGTGCACTTTTTTTCCTGATAACATTTTTTAAAGGACATTCTAGCACGAATTCGATCCATACTAGCAACTACGAAAGCAAAGATGTACACTTCACCAACAAAATAAGAACCACGTTTCACAAATAAATTTGACTGACGTTTACTAATGAATTTTAGATTGTCATAGATATTCATTTAGGGGAAAATGATGATATTTTTCATATTCGTTGTAATCGCAATGGGCTCACCAGCTCATGCTATATACTCATCCACAGTTAACTTTAGTTTACAAGGACATGAATTTCAAACTCAATATGATGTTCAATTGATTCTTAATAAAACAGCTCAAAGTCTATTATTGTGCTCCGCTGCATGTAATCAAAATCCATTATGCCGGACTTTTGATTATGATTCAAGTTCACGCCGTTGTCGACTGTTCGAAGCTGATCTTACTAATGGAGCAATCATTGCGACGGCTTCTCAAACATCTATTGTTGGCAGTGTGAAACTTTCAGCATCATTATATGCATCAATGTACAATCGATCTTGTTCAGCATGCCAAGAAAATCGATATCAGACTTGCTCATCGACTACAAACACGTGCCAATGTCCAGGTAATAGTTATTGGAATGGCAGCATGTGTCCATTACAATTATTTGCAAATGCAACTTGTAGTCAAATTGATGCTTGTCGAAGTGATCTTAATCTTAGCTGTATCATAAATTCTTATGGTGGATTCACTCAATGTTTAATAAGTATGAATCATGTCATTTTATTTACTATTTTCGTATACGAAAACTTAAACACGGATAAAATATTTCACTTTTTCATAAAGTTGAAATGATGTTTTGAGAGGCAAAGATCGTTCAGATAGAGAGGATGTCTGATTATGATGCATCGTTGAGATCCAATGATGGTGTTGTCAACCCTATTTAGAGTTTTCTTTTCGATAAGAACATCCTAAAATAGTTTTTTTAACATTGCTGGCGTGGTCTCAATGAAGAGAAATGATTTTTGTCAGTTCAAGAAATATTTTAAAAATAGATCGACAACTAAAGATTCACAGTATTATTGTTATGCCTATATCTGAGTGTAGGGGTGTCAGATTTAAATTTTAAAAAATTTAAATTTAAAATAAATTAAATCTTTTTTAAATGAAAAAATTAATTTAGAATAAATTTTAATTCAAGAAATTTTAATTTTGTATCATTTAAATTTAACTAAATTTAAATTAAATTGTTTGAAATTCAAATTAGTTAAATTTTCAAGGCTAGTGGATAAACATAGTTTTTGACTTGATTGCTGCTATTTAAAGTCAAATTTGAGTATATTTCCTGTTTTCTAAAGTTAAAGCTAGTCATTCTTCTACGAACTGTACTATTAAATATATTTTTATGAGTATCCAGATATTTTGAAGAAAAAAGATGACGCATCCTGCATAATCTGTAGAGAAATTTTGACTATTATGAACAAATATTAGCCTAAAATACTAGGTTTTCCTCTCATTTAGTTTTTACTATTTTACTACTCTTAAAGTCAAGTATTTTCCTCATAGCAATAATGTGTATCCATCCAAACAATTTATTAAATTTAAATGATTTTTCAGTCCAAAACATTAAATTTAAATTTAACTTTATAGAATTTAATTCAAAATTAAAGTAACTTTTCGCGAAGTTGAACTTAAATTAAACAAACTGTAAATTGACACCCCTCTCTGAGTGCTCATAAATGATATAATATCCCTAATTTCTTCTTAGTAACAAATACGCCATTAGATTCTCTATTAATTTCTTTCAATAAGAATGTAAAATGCTATATTATTCATAAGTTAGACATTAAAACTAAAAATAGTAAGATGCTAAATATCCATCGAATTTAGTGTTAGCTTATAAGTAGTCTAACAGTGAAGTCACACGTCTCTCGTTAAGATGTAACCTCGATCTCACTTCATCATTAGCCATTCATTTTTATTGTACTACACGAAATTCTCTTGCAATGCTCACGTGCATTTGAAATAATGGAAACAAACTGGGTATCCATTTTGCAGAAAACTTCGTATTCAAATTTACAACAAGAAAAGTGAACTATTTTACAGATTACATAGTTTGATGCTACAAAGTACACTGAAAAAAAGGTGCCATCCGAAACCCAAAAGGGTTCCGATTTTTGCACCGAAATCGAAACCCTTTTAGGTTTCGGAGAAATTCGGTTTCGTAAAAGCTGCTGATGTCTAATAGGCGATAACCAGTGTTTCGTACTTGGGGTTCTCTATAATTCACCGTGCAACATTGAACGAAGGTTTTTCTGGATGCTATGCTGCATTACAGAAGCTGGGTGTAGGTGTTTGGGTGTATCTGTGACGTGATCACATGCGCCCACCGCCACCCACACCCTAGTACAACTCATCGAGCTCTATCCAACCATGTGCTCAGATCTGCCAAAGTTCGAACTTTAAATTGTGGAGTTTTTACAGCGCCATCTATCGGCCAAAAACCTAAAGTTCGAACCTTGGTAGATCTGAGCACATGGTTAGATAGAGCTCGATGATTTGTACTAGGAGCAAGAACGCGAGCCTTCGAACAAGTTCCTGAGCGAATCTAAGACGCAAAAGGCCGAATCTATAGATGGAATTCCAATGGAAATCTACAGTTTTTGGGGTTTTTCATGGGTATAGTTTGAGCTATGAAAATCCGAATACATCGTTAGATAGAGCTCATCGAGTTACACTTAGAACAAAAATAGGACATTTGGAACAAGTTCCTGTATGAATCCCAGACAAAAATACTCGAACTTTTGATAATTAACTTCACTTACGTTTCAAATTCAGACTTTTTTTTGTTGAATTCTTTAGAACAAGCCCTCAGTACCATTACTGAGACTGTTTATGCTTTATGGAATACAACTGCAGGTTCTAACAGTAATCTTGCATCGAATGGTTCTGGTATTGGAAAATACTCTTCAGCACATGGCCCAGACAATGTTTTCGATTGCAATACAAATACTAAATATGTCAACTTTGGTGGCTGTAATAATACAGCGAGCGGCTCACCCACGTGTGCACGAAACACCGGCTTCTATCTGACACTACAGAGAGGCCCATCATTCCTTGTCGCTTTTCGATTGGCTACGGCCGATAGCTATCCACAACGTGACCCACGAATAATATCCATTGAAGGAAGCAACAGTAATTTTACCGAACTCACTAGAGGGTCAAGCTGGATTTTACTTTACAATGGCTCCTGTGGTATTTCCATAAATCAAACTCGAAAGACATATGGATCAATACAGTGGTTACCAAACAATTCAGCATGGTATGCTAGCTATCGATTTCTGGTTAATTTAGCCATGAATAATGGGGTATCTATCCCATTCATACAATATTCTGGGGTAGAACTACTTGGTTACTAACTTCTGTATGGTGTTTTTCAAGTGAACTTAAAGTATTAATGGCAAGCAACTCTCGGTGGCGCACCTCGCTTAACCCTCGACTGCAAATTGGTTACACTGTATAAAAGGTACACAACAATAAACTGTTTAGAGGTTTATGAAAGTGCAACGCTTTAAAAAAAACTAGCTTCCCAATTTTTGAATATATGAAAATCTTCATAAATACATAAAGAGTTTCTTTCCTGGAACTTCTTTTTTTACAGTAGAGTCATGCTCTGTCATAGCTTTCTGGATTCCATGCTGAGAACTCCCAGAGAGCGTGTACCGGGAAAATATTTAGGTCGCGTAAATATTCTTCAAATAACTATCGAGATATATAGAATTGTGTATATATCCTGATAGCATGATGGGCAACAAAGTGTGGATCAGTATCAGCTATATTTATATATTAGCCACTGCGTGTATAATATTAACAACAATTCTACACAATCAGTTTATTCTTGTCCAAAATGAGTTCTGTGTGTTGTCTTTCGATACAACCGAATACAATCGTACGTGTTACAAAGCTCAATTTTCTTCTAACTTGACTTGTTTAGAGCTGAACTGAATTGATCTGCCTCAATACTACTCAACTACTCCCCTCTATTTCGCATAGAACGCGAGTTTATATACTAGAGAGAGAGAGAGAGAGAGAGAGAAAAGAAGATACATAGAGACAAAAGTTATTGAGAGAGAAGGGAATACGGAGAAAGAAAAAGAAAAAGAAAAAGAAATCTAGAGAGAAAAGATGCACAGAAAGATTACGTACTGTTTAGTGGACGATTATGTGCTGTCATATGCAAGGATGAATATTAGTGATGTAAACTTAATTATGTCACTGCAGTATGTTCATCAGCTCTATGGCTTAGAAGTGGACGTCTGACGGCTCATATAGTCCCTATCTAATCTAGTCCTTTACGAAGCACGTACTTCTTGGCACACGCTCTCCCTTAATGGAGACGCGCTCCCGAGCGTCTACAAAAGAAAACAAAAAGGAAAAATATGTAAGGAAGAGGGAACAGAGAAGAGATAAAAAAGAACAAGAAAGGTACGACACTGAATTAAAAACGAACTCGAAACAGAGAGAAACACGCAAAAAAGTGATAATGATAACTGTTCAATAATAATCACGATTCTAACCGATTCCATCATGAGTTATTTATATACTAATCAATCTTCTTGACCATTAGGCAACCATTAGCCTTCTTCACGCATAATTTCACCTGAATGTTAGATTGCTGATGTGTTTTCAATATACGTCATTGCTCCTTCTTGAACATTCTGTTATTTGTTCTGTTCTTGTTATCTTTGATTTTGACCGTTTCTCTAACAGTAATCGTTTGTTAATGGGTTATATCACATATTTGACCAATCTTCGCAGCCATTAAGTAGTAGTTAGTTACTTTTTATATAACCTTCTCTGAATGCCATTTCATTCACATGTTATCCGCACACATAACAGATCATTAGCCTGGTTTATAAGCTTCGCTATCATAATTCATATATATATATATATATTTTAAATAAATTGCGATACTTCATATTGCCTTATAATAGACATTCCTTCATAATAGTTTTCATATTTTCTCATTACAATTCATAAAACCATTCCTTCATAGTAATCCATATCATTTCACAAAGGTTCAGAATAATACATATTCCTTCAAAACATAACGCAACTTCTTTCATTCTAATTTATAAAAAATTCTAACTACAGGCATTCTTTCTATATAAATGTTGCATAAATTTGCCGGACCATAAACGACAAGGGAGGATTAAATCAGTAATTCGGATTCGATCGCATAAATTTTGGAATAATACATATTCTTGGAGATAATTCGTATCTCTTCGTAAAAGCGTGTGTGTGGTGGGTGTGAGAGTTGGCGAGTATAGACCTGAGCAGTAGACTCACACCCACACCCTTTCTCCAAATCATCCAGATTTGGCTGAATCTTACAGCAGCATTGGTACCGTATGTCACAATATGAAAGAGTATTCTTGGGAACTCGCAAATTACCAACGAGCTGTTGAAATTTGAGAACGCTCTTTACCTTCAAATAATCCGAATCTTCGGCAATGGAAAAATGGATTAGAATCAGCAAAAAAGAACTGTAAATGATTGCCCACTGGTAAAGATCAGCGAGATCTTTTTTTTTCTTTTGAACAACGTGTGAAGATACCAAAGAAACATTTCTCTATTCAATATTTCATATATTCTAAACATACGTGTTATTTGTTTTCACAATATTTCATCTTGTGCAAGATGCAAGCATTTTATTTACTATTACACAGCCAATTAGAATAAAAGGAATGCTTCATAACCAGGAACAAGCGTTGAATAATATGACAATTTAATATTTTGAGATACTAGAAGTAGAAGTTAGAATATATGTCGCACTGTCCAATAAGCTCGTAGATTGACACGAGAACGAAAACAAAAACAAAACTAAATGAACATATTAAATGTACTATCGATCATTCGTGACTTACAATTTACTGTTGCCACTGTACAATGAATAAGTGAGACGAGAGCTGTCTTATATGAGAAATCATGGCTAATAGTCATTTAAAAATTAGACGACATTTGTAAGAGGAAAAAATTCTAATTAGAATGTTATTTCATCTGATGTAGAGTCTTCACTCTTGAAACTTGAAAATTCAAGAAAAAGAATAGAATTTCACATCCAGATAGCGTATGTATATGAAAAGTCGACATGTCTTGTCTTATTTCTATAATATAACATTCTTCAATATCCAGCATAGTCAAACCAACTTTTTATACATACGCTTTACTATTAAATAAGGTTGTAACTGCGAAAGATCAATATGACGATTTAAAGAATGAGAGAAGAAAAAACTATAAATTGGTTAGCTGACTTCTTTTGGGCTGTAGCTCTAGAATTGGTACATATCGCTAAATTGCAACAAAACTATCATTTTGGTGTCATTTTCATAGCGGCATGACTAAGATTCAGCAAATTGAAAAATTACACATTAACTATGGGATAAAAAATTAAGATATATTCACTGCGAAACTCGTTAATACTGGCTGATTTAACGTGTTTCGCAGCGTTTCCTATGGTAGCACAGGCGTGAGGGTGTGGGTGTGGGTGTCACAGGTTCCTCTGTGAAACTCGAACCCATACACATCTACACCCTATTTCTTCCCACTAAATGTCTATTAGTAAAGTTATTCAAAATACCTTTTTTGTCAAGATTTATGCAAAATTAATAAAGAAAAAGAAGAATTGTCTGAATGCGAATCTATAAATATAATCAGTTGGAGTAATTCGAATCATCGAAGTAAATCTGCCAAGGATAGCCTTGAAAAACTGTCTGACTTCTACAGTAGATTTTCAATTATTGATATTGAAAGAAAGTTTACTCAGTTCGCTTTACTCTGCCTTTCTGTGTACGGTGGCAGACAAAGGTAGTATGGAAAAAATCAGGCTATCTTATTAAAAACTAATAGCAGTGCACGTTTTCAATTGGATCAATCGATCTGTCACTTAAGACATTACTTTTACAATGCATCACAGAAACAGCATACAGTATATTTGACGTCTCAGATTCAGCTATATATCAGGTATGCAATCAGACAACAATAGGTGTTCAACAGAGATGAGCATAGGACAGGACGAGATTTTGATTTTCCATCCTGTCCTGGCAGACGCCAGGACAGGATGGAAAATCTTGTCATGTGTTCGTCTCTGGTGTTCAACATAGGACGATAACTAAACAACTGTAAACGAAAAATGTATCTATTATGTTTGTTATCGAAATAGCATAATAATCGTTTTCAACATAATACTAAATAAAGTGCTTTAGTTGAGAATGTTTCAATGTATTTATTCAGATTTAAACAAGAATTTCACAATGCTAAAATATACTTTCAACCTTGAAGTAGGTTTTGCATATAATGTGTCATAGTCGTCATTTTCGCCTTGCTCTTTCGTTTAAAATACATCATAAAGCGTAATAACCGTCATATACGCATTACATAATTTATTTTAAGCATTTTTCTATCGCTTACACTTACAACTATATTTGTTCATTTCATGACTTTTTCTATTTTTTTTTGTCATGATTTACGATTTCATGAAAATGAAGATATGACGCTGTAACGATAAGAATGTTTTATCGTGATCTCGAACTGTTTTATTTCAATCATCCTTCTCCTTTTATAGATACACTTTCTTTCTCCGGGGCGCGTCACTCAACCG